AAGTTTTGGCAATAATTTGGTGTAAAACAATCCCATATTTCTTGAAGCTTTTGTCTCAGTTCGGTGATTGTACGAGCAGGATGTTGTCGTAGAGCCTTTTTCATCTCGTGCCACAAAGTTTCAATAGGTGACAGATCTGGACTGCTAGAAACCTATTTCAAAAGTGGTACATTATTTTCTTCCATCCATTTTATAGCCTTTTTTGAGGTATGGCACGCTGCACCATCTTGCTGAAACACAAAATCTTGGCCGGATGTCAAACATTCTTCCATCACTGGTAAAAGCGATTCTTCTAAAATTGCCAAATATTTGTTTGTATCCACATTTCCATCAATAAAATGAAGTTTTCCTACTCATACTGCCCCAGACCATAATGGATGCTGGAAATTTCACTTTTCTCTTCAGACAGTCAACATGGTATGCTTCATTTTTTTGCGAATAACTCTACTGCGACTGTCACCAACACAAACTTCGAATCGGGCCTCATCACTCCATTGTATTGCACACCATTGTTGAGGTGTCCATTGTCTATGTTATTTAGCCCATCTAAGCCTATTTTTCTTTTGCAGTGGAGTTAATAGTGGCTTTTCTTTGGCCTATAAACAAGTTGTGCAACTTTAGGGATTTTACTTCACTTTTTTTTATAAGAAAACTTACCTTGCAAGTGCTAAATCCCAGTTTGTGGGCCTCTCTATGATTTGTGGACCTCGAAATTCTCCTTCCAACAGCGTCACTCCACAGAGCACTTAATTGTAAATAATTGGCACGCCAGTTACGTTATATCTTCTAACAATATTTCTCACACTGTACCGCGATAAGTCTAACAAAGTTGAAATTTCTGAGTTTGATTTCAGAGAGTTAAAAAATTTCATTATCAGTAACCGAATTTTCTCACTAATAACCTTTCCTCTACCCATTTTGAAAACCTTAACTACCCAAAAGGGGTTCGTAGTCATAGGCTAATAGTTAATGAAAGCAAAACCAAATATACAGTGCTTTTCTTTAATGTCCCCCTCCCCTTTGATTTTTTGAACGGATCAATACAAAAAATTAAAACTTGAAGTAATGAAATTGATGCATGGATATCATATTTTAGAGTAAAATTGACAGATGAAAATGTCAAGATGGCCGCTGGGCACCATCTTGGAAAAAAAATCATGAAAACGGGGTCTTGTGGCACATCAATCTGAAGCTCCTGATGAGTACTTTATAACCCTAGAATATAAAGCCAATGCCTTTACCTGCTACAAAACGGTAGTACATTTAATAGTTACCTGAATAAATTCACATTTAACTTAATAATAGTAGCATCTATATTTCTACAAATATTTGTTATTCTCAGCCGTATATCCAATATTGAAGCAGGTTCAGTTTCGTACACCTTTTGCTTCAAATAGCCCCATAAAAAAAGGTCTAAAGGTGTCAAATCTGGCGAGCGAGTTGGCCATTCCACAGGACCTCGACGGCCAATCCAACGACCGGGGCAATTGTTATCTAAATAATTCCTAACTTGTCTGTAGTAGTGTGGTGGAGCACCATCTTGCTGGAATACAATATCAGTATCGAATTCATTAGGATTCGCTTCGACGATTTCGGTGATTAGAGGGTCAATAATATTTTTCAGAATATCCAAATATAGTTCCCTGGTTAAAGTTTGTTCGATGAATAGAGGCCTCACAATATGATTTCCCAATATACCAGCCCAAACGTTAATTTTTTGTGGATATTGAGTATGAGTTTCCTGGAAGACGTGAGGATTGGTGTCACTCCAATAACGACAATTTTGTCTATGCACATTGCCGTTGAGAAAAATGTATATTCATCACTAAAACAAATGTTTTGGATATAGGTAGGATGCCGTGCAATGGTTTCCGTCATAGTCTAGCAGAATTCTGTTCCTTGATCAGGGTCATCTTCAGTTAGCTGATGTATCATTTGAATTTTGTATGGGTGATACTTATTCTTTTTCAAAAGTCTCCATACAGTAGAAGGACCAACCTCACATACATTCGCGATGGAGGAAGTAGACTGTTGGGGATTTACTATGATCTCACCAAGTATTTGAACTTGCTTTTCTTCCGGGATGGTCGGATGATCTGGGGCTTTTTGTTGTTTAGACTACCAGTAGCTGTAAATTTAGATACAAGTTCCCTTAAATATTTTCTACAGGGAGGACGATTCAGAAATCGATCATTAAAAATCCTTTCGGTCTCGTGAAAGTTACGCGTCGCACCATAAATAAAAATCGCTTCGATTTTTTCTTCCAATGGACGAGAACTGACCATTTCAAAAATAATTCAAACAGTATCTAGCACTAAAACCGAAAACTAAATAAGAATATTTTAACTGTACAATGATGTTTGTTTTCGTACTGATATTCTTGTCACTATCAACAACATATTCTAGGGTTATAAAGTACTTGTCAAGAGCTTCAAAATGATGTGCCACAAGACCCCCGTTTTCATATAATTTTTTTTCCAAAATGGCGCCCATTTTCATCTGTCAATTTCACTCTAAAATATGGTATCCACGCATCAATTTCATTACCTCAAGTTTTGATTTTTTTAATTGATCCGTTCAAAAAATCAAAGGGGTGGGGGACATTAAAGAAAAGCACTGTATGTTCTATTCTGAGCGTCGCCAACTTCTATCACGATGAAATTAAATAATTCAGTTATAGACAGGGTTGAACAAAAGAAGTTTTTAGGGGTAATAGTAGATGAAAGACTCAGCTGGAGTGATCTTTTAGATTATGCCATAAAAAACTCAGTCCAGCGTATTTTGCGATGCGTAACATAATTATACTAAGTGACATATAAATCCGAACACCCAGTTTAAATGGTTTTATTTTAATAAAATTTTGTATAAGTACTTAATGAAGCATAATAAGTAAATGATAAAAATTTCAAAATGATTGCACTGCTTTAAAGCCCTTTGACCTTTAATAATGTGTGGATGCACCCTGATGTGCTACGCATTCTCCAACGCGCCAAGGCATGCTTCTGATCAGGTGGTCAATGTCCTTCTGTGGTATCTCATTCCAGGCAACCACCAACTCCTCTCGAAGTGCTTCTAGAGTCTGAGGAGGACGTTGCAAATTGAGCAATCTCCTACCCATCATATCCCACACGTGCTCAATTGGGGATAAGTCGGGAGATCTTGGTGGCCATGGTAACAATGCGACATCGTTATGTTGAAAGAAGTCTATTGTGACTCTTGCAACATGTGGTCGGGCATTATCTTGTTGGAAAGATGGATCTGCCAGGGTGTCAAGATAGGGTAAAAGATGGGGTTCTAGAACTTCGTGGATATAACGCTGCGCGTTCATGTTACCTCTGATGGAGATTAAAGGTGACCTGGAACCATAAGCTATAGCACCCCAAACCATAACTCCAACAGTGTGATGAACATGTCTTTCAACAAAAAACTGTGGATTCCTCCTTTCACCACGTCGCCTTCTAACCCTTACACCGACGTAATCGCCTTGAGTGGTGCAGACAACGGTCACTCTGGGATCAAGAATGGAACAGTATTGTCTTTAGTGACGAGTCTCGATTTTGTTTAGGCATGCACGATGGTCGTACCAGGGTTAGAAGGCGACGTGGTGAAAGGAGGAATCCACAGTTTTTTGTTGAAAGACGTGTTCATCACACCGTTGGAGTTATGGTTTGGGGTGCCATAGCTTATGGTTCCAGGTCACCTTTAATCTTCATCAGAGGTAACATGAACGCGCAGCATTATATCCACGAAGTTCTAGAACCCCATCTTTTACCCTATCTTGACACCCTGGCAGATCCAACTTTCCAACAAGATAATGCCCGACCACATGTTGCAAGAGTCACAATAGACTTCTTTCAACATAACGATGTCACATTGTTACCATGGCCACCAAGATCTCCCGACTTATCCCCAATTGAGCACGTGTGGGATATGATGGGTAGGAGATTGCTCAATTTGCAACGTCCTCCTCAGACTCTAGAAGCACTACGAGAGGAGTTGGTGGTTGCCTGGAATGAGATACCACAGAAGGACATTGACCACCTGATCAGAAGCATGCCTAGGCGCGTTGGAGAATGCGTAGCACATCAGGGTGCATCCACACATTATTAAAGGTCAAAGGGCTTTAAAGCAGTGCAATCATTTTAAAATTTTTATCATTTACTTATTATGCTTCATTAAGTACTTATACAAAATTTTATTAAAATAAAACCATTTAAACTGGGTGTTCGGATTTATATGTCACTTAGTATATTACGAAGCATTCACTTAATGTTTATTTTGCAACCGTATATCCTCATTTGAGGCACCTTGTCCTCTGCTGGGGTTGCTCTGTGGACGCTCAGCGCGTATTCATATTGCAAAAAGATTATAAGGTTGATATTTTCATTTAGCCCTCTACAGACTTGTAGAACGACTTTTCAGCCAAATCATCTATTGACATTTCCCAGAGTTTTTATTCTTGAAACATGTGATTCGGTAAAAATAGTTATAATAAGTTAACGTACATTGAGGATTAGCAAATATCCAACTTAAGCAACAATAAGGCTATATCTACATCTATCGTTAATTACAATCTAAGTCCTGAGTATATTTGTGCCAATAAACTACCTAATGATATCAAAACCTTGGTTGAAACTAACTCTGCAAGCGTTTTTGGTAGAAAAATATCATTATGTTAATGACTTTGCATCGACGTTATCGTAATTTTGAGTTTCATTGTGCATAAACTTATATTGTATTATAATAATTGCAGTAACCTATATTTTGACGTTTCATATCCGCGAGAATGAGATGAATAAAATTCATTATTGCTATTATTATGATTAATATGGCTGGAGAATATGTTAATCAATGGTAGAAGATAGGACATTATTCGAGATTTGAAATGTCCAATATGAGGGGGAAATATTATATCACCCTTATCGGAAAAATATATCTACGAATAAAGCCCTAAAATTCTCATTATCTGTACAAATAAATATTTTTGTGTTTACTTTCAGATTTGTTTACAAGTGATGTTGATGTTGCGATGAGAGAACACACCCTTTTTGCAGTTTTTGTTTACATTGCTTACTTCTCATTGTAAGTCCTAGTATAACCTATATATAAATGTAGACATATACTTTCAATTTTGTTTTATTTGCTTCTGACAAGCATGCTGCTATTTTAGCATTGACATTTCCAACGGTGTTACTCCAAGAGATGGTAGCATTCAACCCACGAGCAGTCAAGCGACCCATTCCGTGTATTGTAGTGTAATTTGTTTCGTCCAGAAACTCGTAAGGGTTAATGTAGCCAACTTTTGAGGTATTTTATAGTAAATTGTCTTAGAGCCGTTTTACACACAACAGAATTACTACGAAAATTATGGTCAAAATTATGCCGAAAATTTTTGCTGTCGTATTACACGTAAAAGAATTCTTGTGAAAATTTTCATGGTAAAAATATAAAACCCGTTCTATAGAATATGCGCGAGAATCGGCGCAGAGGCTTATTTCGGTGCATGTCATTATGAAATGTCAACGTCAACAACGTAACCTCACTTAACATTTGTGGGTGTGGTCCTGTTCGAGTCGTACGAAGAAGCGTTTATTGTTATTGTTTATTCATAATGTCGTGGAATCGGGAAGAAGTTACACTGTTGTTGGAGGAGTACCAAAAATGGCCAAACCCAATTACAAAAACAGAAATTTGCGGCGTCAGGCGCTGGATGCGATAGTCCAAGCATTGAGAAGTTTTATAATATTAACCAAGATCTCGATTTCAAAAATAAATTTAAATCAACGACGTCTGTTGTCTTTCCGATTATATTGGACGTCATACCCGTTAAGGTTATGTCCATTCGAAAATATTACTCTAATGCGCAGGCGTATCATATGAATACTCGGAAATTTTGCTTGCTTGTGTCATACAGGTTGTAGAGAAAATCTTCAATATTTTTTCCATGCAAATTTTCGGCATAATTATGACTATAATTTTCGGAGTAATTCTCTTGTGTGTAAAACGGCTCTTAGCAATGATAAGGATCCTATGCATGGGGATCCCAATGCCTGTGGGAGATAAAAAACATTTCATGGCTTACTGAGATATTCGAGAAAAACTAAAATTTGGTTAAATCGTTTTTATATGTTTCTGGCTTTATTTTGAGAAATATCAAAAACTGATAACAATTTACATTGCCACTTTTTAGGCACTACATAATGGTGTTTTTAAATTTTGTGCCCGACGGTTCATTTTTGAGAAACCATCATGAATTTTATTTTTTATATGGTCCGAAGAAAGTGCACCCTGTATCTAATAGTACTTTTTTATACGAATTCAGCGATGTATCACATGTTACATTTATTTTCTTGGTTATAAGGATAAATGCGTTTTTTCTGATTTATACTTTTTTAACTAGGCGTTGCAAACAAATGCTTGACTTGACGTAAATACCGAATGTTGTTATTATTGGGTATTGTTAATAATGATAAATATCCTACTATGTGCTTTAAGAAGGATGATATGGAAGAATGGTTAAGGCAAAAAGACATACATTTCACTGACGACATGTTGGTCATTCTGTTTTGCGATTGCCACCATATCACCCCGACTTGACTCCAATTGAGAGAATTGAAAAAGCGATGTGAGCATGACAATTGTATTTTAAGTTATCCTAACTCAATTTTATAATGTACCCCATTGCAAGCCATGAAATACTACAGGCAATAGATATTTTAAGATCGGGGGCTCGTGGAATTGATGATCTAACGCTGACAATGATAGAACTTAGTCTTGTAACGTTAATGAAGTTACCAAATTTAGAATATTGGGCTCACGAAAAGATGCCAACAATTTCGATTAAAAAAAGCAGCCTTCAAATAATACGTATTCGATTATTGAAATGATTCGATTAATTTAGGACGCGGACTGTACCACTCGAGATCGAATGGCACGTATTGTACGTGCCATCCCTTTTGCTCCTAATGCGTTCTCCCTCTCTCGTGTGCGCTATCACAGCAAATCCTCATATCTCTTCCTACACTTGACGAGCTCTATCTTAATAAGGACGAAGTTGTCTTAGCCTTGAAACAAATAAAACCTAAGATGAATACCAGCTGCACAATTCCAGAATTATGGAAGTATGTCCAATACACAAAAACGGCAGTAGGAATGATGTATTAAATTTTAGACCTATATCAATATTGTGCAATTTTTCAAAAGTTCTAGAGATATTAATATATAACAGACTATATCATCATGTCAGCAGAAAACATTGATAGAGGATTACAAACAGATGTGATCTACACAGACCTCTCCAAGGCTTTCGACAGAGTTGATCACAGGATGCTATTGCATAAGCTGAAATCTCATGGATTATCCGAGTCTTTAATACAACTATTTAAGCCCTACCTCACTGGAAGAAATCCATTTGTGATGTTTAATGGCATCAGATCGTCGTATGTAGCCAATTCCGTAGTGCCACAAGGCAGTAACCTAGGGCCTTTATTGTTCGTCATATTTGTGAATAACATAGTTAATGCTGTTGGCGAGAATTTTTTACTTTACGCTGATGATTTGAAGATGCTTTGTCGTCTAGCTAATGAATCAGACTGTGATCAACTTTTAGAAAATCTGGTTAGGTTGGATGCTTGGTGTTCACAAAACAATCTACCGTTAAATATCAATAAATGTTACATAATGTCTTACACTTTGAAGAAAAATCCTCTGTTATTTGACTATGCCCTGTCAGGTACCTCTATTCAGAGGACTTTAACTTTATGTGACTTAGGCGTGATATTTGACTTCCAACTAACATTCGTCAAACACATTGACAGCAAAATTTCGGAGGCAAACCGCATGTACGGCTTTATTGTAAGAAACTGCCGTGACTTCACTCAGAGTACCACCTTGAAGTTGCTGTGTTATGCATATGTTAGGTCGAAGCTTGAGTATGCATTGCTAATTTGGAATCCGCATCATATTATTCATATAAGTAGGCTTGAATGTGTCCAAAGACGTTTCTTAAAATATTTGTGACTGAAAGTGGATGGTACCTGCCCATAGGTATATCTCATGATTCCTTACTTGAAAAACATCTAATCAGCAGTCTTGAAGCAAGGCGCACTTGCCAGTCAGTGATTTTTCTGTTTAAGTTGATCAATAGTGCCAGTAATGATTTAGCGTTCTTGGGTCAGTTATCATTTAACGTATACTTTATCTGAAGTCACTTGAAATAGCATAAAAACCTTTGGTCGGCGCGTCCTTTGTAATTTCATGACGTATCATAGGCGTGCGGTCATTTATTTAGAACGATAATAATAATGTTTTTATATCACAATAAATGGATTTTACTATCTTCTTATTTTTTTGATTTGGGATAAAAAATACTTATATTGGGAGTTTAATTTATGTTGACTGAAAGTTAAGAAATGGAAAAATTACAGAATTCCAACGTTTGACATAGGCAAATATTTACATAGTAGGTAGGTATATAAAAAGGTATATAAAGACTTACATTATAGGTATTTATATATCATCCTCGCCTTCGGAGCTGTCGCTAGAGTCATCTTGTAGAGGAATTACAACGGGATTTACAGGAGGCAAAACACAATATTCATTTTCTTTTCAATAATATGCTTAGAACACTGCTTCCATAGGTCTGTGGCAGCAATATGAGATACTGCATCTCTTATTGTGGCCAATAGCGATTCACTTAATTGAGGGGTCTGATTATGTTTTCTTACTTTTTTTTTTAAAGCAGCCCAGACCAACTCAATCGGGTTAAAAATGCAGTAATAGGGAGGTAGACGTAATACTTCATGGCCATTTTGCTGAAGCAGATTGTCAACAACATACTCTTTTTCAAATGTTTGTCTTTTAATAAGATCCAATAATATGGCTTTGGTTGATTCTTGTGGTATTTCCATTCCCTTATCCTTCATAAAATCAATAATGTCTTGTTTTTTTGTGCCTGTATTCGGAATTTTGTTTTTCTGTCGGGAATGGTATGGCGCATTGTCCATAATAATCACTGAATTTGGGGAAATGTTTGGTATTAACTGCTGCTCTATCCACTTTTCAAATAAGTCGGAGGTCATGTCCTCATGATAGTCGGCACATGATTCTTTGATATTTTTGGCAGATATCAGCAAGGCATTAGGTATAAATCCATTTTCACTGCCAGCATGGAGAATAATGATTCGTTTTCCACGGTTGCATGGTGCATTTAAAATGCACTTGTTGCTGTCGTCAACCCAGCCGTACTGCACAACATCATGGGTATCATACCACGTTTCATCCAGGTAAATCAGATTTCTTTTCTGCTCTCTATAGATTTTAACTTTGTGCAAAAATTCTTGGCGCAATTCAACGATTCGAGACGACTCCATAATCACCATTCTTTTATCTAATTTTTTGTATTGAAAACCACACAGTTTTACAATGCAGTGCAGTGAGTCTAAGCATTTGTAATTATAAAAATCTTCAGGATAATCTTTTAATTTATCCCGTATCATTTCCAACGTGGGCACCAAATTTTCTTTATAAAATCCGTATATTATACGACGAATATCTTCCTGAAAACCCACGTCTATTCTTTTTAATTTTTACCCTATGCGTTTTCTGTGGAAGGAATGGTTGACTACATCTCCCCTTTTTATAACCCCATAAATGGTAGACCGACTGATTTTTGTCAGGATACAAATTCTGTTTAAAATTTGATTTTGCGAGGAATCTGGATTTTCGTTTTTCAAATAATCATACATATTTAGGATTACTCTTTGGGTCTGTTCCTCTAAATCTTTATGAAAGAATTCTGCCTGTACAGGTTCATCAACCATCTCCTCGGGGCTTGGAGCATTTTCGCAAGGTCTCCAAAGAGCCATATTTAGGACACACAAGAACAATCAACACAACAATTAAATCAACAAGTAAACTGAGTATTCAAAAGTCAAAAACACACAAACTAATAAAATCTATGGAGAAACACGGACAGGCTAAAGAAAACACGTTTATTCACCGCTACACGCACTAGCTAAACTGTTTCAATTTTCAGTAGCCACCTGCACTTGTTCGGAGCTCTGAAATACACGCTTTCTCATTGGCTATGTCCACGCATAGGCGTGCTTTACTCCACGTGGACCGGTGAAACTGCATTTGATCTTATACGGGGGATATTTGCTGCGAAATTTGGCGATTTTTGCAGCAACAGAGCGTGTTAAATATAGATATATAAAACGCACCCGGTATTTCACAGTGTTTCAAGTGACTTCAGATAAAGTATACCTAGGCTGACATCCCGACAAAACGTTACGTTTTATCTACCTGCGGCTCGGACAAATTATATGCATTATTCCCCTTTACATGTCATGTGTAGGAATTACAATTCTGCAAGTAACCGGATTGATATATTTAACTGCAAAATTGCAGACATAAAAAATACCATTAAGTAACCAGCATGTATCTTTTACACTTTGTAGTCTATTTCTTATTATTGTCTTTAATATCTGTGTTATGTTCTGTGTTTCCTCACACTGTAATTGGTATTCACTGTAGAGTGTTGTAATGAATAAAATAAAATAAGTTTCCCGAAAGAAAGTAGCCAAGTAAGTCCATTTTCATAGAGTTGGCCCGAAATTTGAACGAATATTCATTCAAAAAGCCTATTACGTCTCGAAAAAAGGAATCTTCAGAGGTAGCTCAGCATAGTGCTTCACAAGCAGTTGCTGAGAACTCTGAGATATCAACTAAGCAAATTGAGAAAAGCGTAGGAGTAGCCAAATCCACAGCCCAATTTATTTTGCGTTAAAATAAACATCACCCTACAAATTTAGGAACGGCGCCAGCATCTTTGCGAGTGGTACCCACAGAAGTGTGAAGAAGATTTTAATTTCTCTTCAAAAATAATACGGTTCGACGAGAGTATGGTCACTTATAATGGTATCTTTAATCGCCGCAACACTCATCACTGGGCTCAAGAAAATCTGCGGGCTAAAAAAGTATCCAATTTCATTAAGAACCAAGTTCATCAGCATACTTTTGAAAGTGAGCAGCAGTTACGAGAATGTGTAATGGAAGAATTTGGTATGATTATACCAGAAAAGTTACGTGATATTTTGAATTCTACTGTTAAAAGATCATATTTATGGTTAGAAAATAATGACAACCTATTTGAACACCTTTTGTGAATAAAATAAAAATAATGTTGAAAATTGTATAAAATTTTACCCCACCATCATTATGTAATAGGTAATACGTATCTATCAGTAATCACATAATCTTACATCAAGCATATACAGGCTGACTTTGAAGTTGAATCATTAATTTTCAGATAATGATTGTAGAAGGAAGATAAACCAAAATATGTGTGTAAAAATAAAAAAAAAAATTTTACCTTGTTTTATAAAGTATCCTCCCGACAAGTATTTCAGTGCGGACCTGTATTTGATCGTGAGGTCCCCTGTGAGGTCTTAAGTCACCTGATTCACGAGTCCGTTGTACTACATTAACAAAGGCACGAGGGGTTGGTTGCACTCGATTGGGAAACCGATCCGCATAAACATGTGCCATTTTTTATTTCGTTTGAGCCACGCAACAGACACCACTATTCACTCACGCGTTACCGACTGACACTGACTGTATGTATACAACTGAATAAAATCATTGTAAAAACATCGTTCCAAATTCTTTCGCTTTTTTGTTTCCGATGCGATGAACCGTTGTTGCCAAACACGAGCACATGATATTATTATTGAGACAGTGCGGTACTCAAACTTCCAAAGGGCTATAACTTTGTTACTTTAATTTTACCAGAAAAATGGTAAAGGAAAAAAACATTTCTTTTGATCAGATCTACTCACTGTTAAGATAAATGACTCAACTTCGAAGTCACCCTGTATGTTTGCAACGCCGACTTAAATAAAATAAATAAAAAAAAACGAAAAACACATTTTTCTTTATGATTAAAATAATAAATGTAACATTTTATACATCGTTGAGTTCGTAGAAAATGATGCTATCAGATACAGGGTGTACTTTAATTCAGGCTTTATAAAAAACAAAATTGATTGTGGTTTCTCAAATACGAAATGACGGGCACAAGACTTAAAACACCATCATGTAGTGTCTCAACGGCATGTGAATACGCCCCAAAGAAAGCAGCTTTTTCCTAATTTAATCTAAGCTGCATCCCCATCCATAGGATCCTTATCTTGGGCAGCTCGTATACTACTGGTTATTTTTTTTTCACAAAAGGTCCTAAAAAACGTCAATTTCTGATGAATCTTAATTGCTTTATTCAAAATCAGCATAAGTCTGGCAAGTTTGTCTGGCAGGCCCAGTGCGGATGCATCATGGATGACAGCTTCGAGAAGCAAAGTACGCTAGCTAGTCAATAGCAGAGAGCTAAACTACCGATGGAGAAAGAGAAGCTTGAAACCGTCAGTTATATCGTCGGTCTCCGCACGTACCGAAGTAACTAACACTTTAAGAATTTTATGGGAGAGCTAGAAAACGAAAATCAGCAATGTATAAGATTAACAATGACATACTGATTTGTTAGTCTGCACGATGCTGTTTTTTTGTTAGACTAAAATTATGTAAAACTTTGTTTTGGGATGGTTTAATTTTGTAAAAGTAAAATGAGTTTAAAAAAATATTTTTTGCACATTTACGACTCTTGTTTCTTTCATTGTATAGTTACGGCAACAATTTAAAACTGGACATGGGTATCAAAGTATCGAAAATCATTTTTCATAAATAAAAATTGTTTTCTTCTCTACATAATATTATAAGTACAAACAAAAAGAAAATGACAAAAAAAAAATGCTAAAAGCACCATGTTTCTCATATTATTTCAGTTTTCGTCAGAAACAATTAATAAAAGTGTTTGAAAAACTGTCATATGAAACTTGAGGAGCATTAAAATGTTAACCCCACATTTGAAGATCCACCGTCCTGTACTTGGCATATTTACCTCAGAAATTGATAAATCCGTGGTTTCCAGCGAATTTGATATTTTGTATTATCATCGCGAAAAAGTTCGAAAATTTAATATTGTCTTCTCTGGCCGTTATTTGACAAGTACATCACTAAAAACCATGTCACTCATTTCCGTCGGTGTGTCCGCAAATCTTTGGCCCGTCTGTAACTTGGAAAGTACTGTTCGGATTTGGATGAAATCGGTCCACTGGCGGCAAAGAAAACAGAGAAAAACGAACGAAAAAAAATAGCCCAAACCTCTTTTTTTGACGTTTCATCAGAAATACATTTATAACGATTGAAAGTTGGTATCTGGGGATTGTAGGGCGTTGCAAATGTTGAGTATTTGCTATCAGTGAAAGACGTTTTATTATTCAGTGATTTGTGATCCTGGTAGTATAGCACACTTGTTAGATACAATATCACGATTCTTCGCATAATAGTTATGTCTGTGACTACAGTAATACCAGCTACCAAGAAGCACGCAAAATCCTTTACCTGCCCAAGGTCCGATCCGAATTCAGCAACACCAATAGTGCCCCAGCCGCAGCTTTGTCGAGAGCTGCTTCCAGTGGTTTTTGGTTTGAGAGCAATGCATGAGAATATAACGTGCACTGGAACGGTATTGGTGCTGAGCACTACTGAGTTACTCAGAGTGACTCAACATGGTCACTGGAAAGCAGCTGCATATTATGCAAAGATACGTACGAATTGACTCGGATACTATAAATATGTATATTCAAAATCCATAATTGAAGTCTTTTAAAATCAACACTCTACGGCCTGATGTCAACGTACAATGACTTTCATAGCCGTGGCATAATACAAATACACCGGAGTGTGCAAAAGTTGACTTGATACTATACATGTTGCATATCTAAAGTCCAGAATTGCGTGAGGAGTAGAGAGTCAATCTACTTGATGACATTTTTTATACAGGGTGTTTCAGTTTATTGTTGCATAACTTTAAGATTCGATAGAGCTTTTAATGTTAATGCATAAAGTCTATATAAACATGGGTCGAAAAATGCGTGGGTTCCGAAATACAGGGTGTTTAAATTTACTTTTTAAAATAGTTTTTTTTGAATATTTCTAACAATATCTGATGTATAACAGTGAAAATCGGTATACAAGGGTTTTTTGGTACGATAAAACGAACCATGGGCATAGTTTTACTGTAGCCGCTAGAGGGCGCTCTCTAATGTACCTGTAGTGTATTAAAATGACCGAAAAAATTTTCTTAGTGCAATTTTTTGCTTTTTGAATAAAAAAATTGATTCTTCGCACTTTTCAACATAAAAAAGCTCTCTTGTGAGTTTTCGTTATAGTTAGCCGTTTTTGAGATATTTCGATTTTTAAGGTTCGATGCATTTTTAATTATTTATGGGAAAATAATATTTTTTTTTACATTTTCGATTTGGGCATTACAAGTAATTAAGATGATCGTTTAGACTGTGTTTTTAAACACAGCAATAATTCCTAACTCCAAATAAACACAAAAATTTGTTTAATTTTCCAATATTATTTTTAACAAATTTAATTAATTATTTAAACTAAAATGCTATTGGATAGTTAGGACAAACATACAAAATCTAAAGTAGTTGCTCGAAATGTAAACTCAATTGTTCAATACACAATTCACATCTACGAATGATCGAACGTGGTATAGCATTATTCAAATTAGGCCTTATTTCATCACATGCATTCGTGATTCTGTCTATTAGCATATCTCTTGTGGTTACGGGAGTCTGGTACACTTTTTCTTTTAGAAATCCCCACACAAAGAAATCTAATGGATTTAGGTCAGGGGATCGTGGAGGCCAGGCGACTGGTCCTCCACGGCCAATCCATCTTTCTGGATAATTTTCGTTCAGCCAGTTTCTAACTATTCTCGAATAATGAGCTGGACAACCATCAAGCTGGAACCAGGCTAATCTTCTTAAACCTAACATAACATCATCCCACATATTTGCATGTTCAACCTTTAAAAATTCCAAGAAGGTCGCAGCATTTAACCTTGCAGGCAAAAGGTAGGGTCCAAATAGTCGATTATGGTAGATACCAATCCACACGTTCACACTAAATTCATGCTGAAAATTTCTTTCCCGAACTGCATGCGGATTTTCATGCGACCAAATATCTTGATTATGAAAATTTACCACTCCACGTCTAGTGAAGCATGACTCATCGGTCCATAAAACGTTACTTAAAAACTCCCTATCATTATCAGTTCTATCAAGAATCCACTGACAAAATGTGATTCTTCGGTCTCTGTCCCCTGGCTGTAGTCCTTGCACAGGTTGCAAATGGTAAAGACGTCTATGGTCATTTCTAAGAACACGGTGAACATGGCTTGCTGAAATTCCCAAGGCACCAGAAACTCTCCTAACACTTGTGGTTAGATCTCTATCAAACTCACGCAGAATCATACGGGTAAATCTGCGCTGACGAACATTTATGTTTTGATCCCTTTGGAGATTTCCAAAACCATTTTCAATTATTTGGCGATGCACTATTACAAATACTGAGCGAGTTGGATGTCGTCTGTTTGGAAATCTTCGTGCGTATTCTCTGGCTGCTTCTGCTGCGTTTCCATTTACAAAGCCATACACAAAATGAATATCCGCTAACTCTTGATTGGAGAATAAAAATGGCATTTTTATAAAACTTACAAGTAAAAGAAACTAAATTTCGTACATTCACAATTGCAAAAAAACGTTTCAGGTTTCAACAGACAACAAAACCAACTGTCAACTAATTGAAATTTAACCTTATTCTGCTTTCAATTTGAAAAATACTTGCAGGCACAGCCTACTTCTAAAAATTATCGAGATAATGACTTTTTAACGTTATTTTATCATAAATAATTAAAAATGCATCGAACCTTAAAAATCGAAATATCTCAAAAACGGCTAACTATAACGAAAATTCACAAGAGAGCTTTTTTATGTTGAAAAGTGCGAAGAATCAGTTTTTTTATTCAAAAAGCAAAAAATTGCACTAAGAAAAATTTTTCGGTCATTTTAATACACTACAGGTACAGTAGAGAGCGCCCTCTAGCGGCTACAGTAAAACTATGCCCATGGTTCGTTTTGTCGTACCAAAAAACCCTTGTATACCAATTTTCACTGTTATACATCAAATATTGTTCGAAATATTTAAAAAAAAACTATTTTAGAAAGTTAATTTTAAACACCCTGTATTTTAGAAGCCACGCATTTTTCGATCCATGTTTATATAGACTTTATGCATTAATTTCAAAAGTTCTATCGAATCTTAAAGTTATGCAATAATAAACTGAAACACCCTGTATATGTTTTAAGTCTCATAGTTTTCTTTATATATTTGAAATGTTACGACCATGCCTCTTCACAAAACGTCATTATTTCGTAAGTGCTTCTCATATAACCCGGTTACATGTTATAATGAAGTGCCTGACATTAAATTCACTAAACTATAATGTATTTGAAAAACAAATTAAGCAATTTAGTTTAGAAAAGTATTTCCCAGCATAGTTACACTTATGATAATCCTTTCTTATCAGTGTTCATTCATTTACGAGGAACGAGGAGGTACCCAAAAATACCCTGAATAACATTGCAGTGGGTGGAGCTTGTGTAGTACACATTATTTCCGCCCCTAGAGGCGTACAGCGCAACCCATTACCTGAGTTGTCGATCTGGCTTGTTTCGTTCCCTGTAGTCATGATTGTTACCAGAGCTGTTTCGTTTTTTAAGATTGGAAGCTTCAGTGGGCAACGTGCAGCTGTGAAATTTTGCTTTCTAAATGGTAAAAATGCTGCCGAAACTGCTTTAATGTTGAAAATAGCTTACAAAGATGATGCTATGGGAAAAACTCGGGTGTACGAGTGGTTTGCCCGATTATCGTCATGTCGATTGATGACAAACCTCGCTCTGGATGTCCATCAACTGCCCGAATTGACGAAAATTTTGGAAAAAAATCGAGAGGTTGTGCTGTTTGGAGGTTTTAAGATGATTGCGAAACAGTGTTCAGCAAAAAAGACCCGATTTGTGGCAGTCAGGAGACTGGTTCTTCCACCACGATAATGCACCTGCGCATACAGACATCTCTGTTCGACAGTTTCTGGCTAAAAATGGCATAAGGTTACTTTATGAAAAAGTTGAAAATAAATAGCTTTTAACAAATTATTCCGTTTTTTTTTGGGTACCCTCTCGTATATAATTAAATTTTCATCATCTTCTGTGACTACAATTTTATATACATACTTAGGTATATTACTTTCACATGTGTTTAATTGTTATTTTATTTTTTATACTTTTCAAAGGTCAAGTGGTAGAATAGCTTCAAGCTAAACTTCGTCCTCAATAAAAGACACTTATTATTATCGTCGGGCATCTCAGGTCTCTTCCTGGTATATGGGTTTTGACCAAGCATCCTTATAGAGGGTGGTCCATAAGTCCTTTGAAATTTCAAATTTGAATAAAATTTAACGGGTAAGCGTGAGCGGCGCG